AAAAATTGCTTAATGTACTTTTATCAAATGTAATAATGTAAAAAAACTCTTTACTGTATTTTTTTTCCAAACGTAACACTCCAATCAATATAACATACAAAAAAAATTTAGTGTACTTATTTCAAACGTAACACTCTAATATAACACTCCAATGTAACACTAGAAAATCACACTAATAAAATGTAGATTTTCACTCTCAACAACCAACATTTTAGCCACCAATCCCCCTCAAAAAAATCTTCCACTTCTCATCTTTCCATTCCTTTACCAAAAATTAAAAAATTAGCAAAACAAAAATGCTAGAGGCCTCAAAAACTTACCAAATGTCTCACATGGGTGTGGGATCCACATGAGACCCACATTGTGTGGCTTCCACACCCATGTGAGACATTTGGTAAACCTTTTGGTATAATATTTGGGGTCTCTAGTATTACTCTTAGTAAAATGAATCACAAAAATCATCCACATCTACCTTTCCATTCTTATATCAAAAATTAAAAAATTAGCAAAATGAATCACAAAAAGACATTCAAGAGCAATTTGAAAAGCTATAAAAAGCTAACTTTTTAGATTTTAACACAAAAGGACAAAAAAGTCAAAAAAAAAAACTAAATTTTAACCAATTTCTCAAATCATCCTTCATTTAAACTCAAATGGTATCAAATCAAATAAATATAATTTTTCAAAAAAAATGAACTAATTGATTATAAAAAAGGGGTAAATTACACTGACACCCCTTGAGGTTTATATTTATTACAGTTTCCCCCCTCATCTTTTGAAAATCACATCTCCTCCCTGAGATTGAAAGTTTCATTACAGATTCCCCCCTCAGCAATTTAATTTTTTTAAATACCAATGTTGCCCTCATTAGGTAGATTACATTGATACCCCTCACATTTTAGAAATTACAATCCCCTCTCTAAGGTTTAAAGTAGCATTACCAATTACCCCCTCGATTAATATTAGTTGGAAAAAAAATTCATTGAAAAAAAAATTAATTGCAAAAAAAAAAAATTGTTAGTAAAATTTTTAAATTTTTGTTTAAAAACCAATGTAAACTCATTTTTTGAATTTACGTTTTTTTCTCAAATTTATAAACTGAGACAACTATTTATAAATCAAAAAAATTATCAAATAAGTTTTTATGACAATTTTTAAAATTTTTGTAAATATAAATTGAAAATTGAAAACGAAATGGTTACCAAATAGGTCTCAGATGGTAAAAATGTCGTAAAATTAACAAATAATTAAATAAATTACCAACATAACAAATGACTTATCAAAAGATTCTTAGGCTATATATTGTTTGATTTTTAGATTTTTTTTAAAAAAAATTAAAAATTAATTTGGTCAAGAAATAAAAAATAATTATCATTTAAGGGTAAAAAATAATTATCATTTTAACTTTTTGGCAGGTTATATACATACGTATGGCTGTTTCAATTTAATTTGTAAAGAATTATTTCTAACCACTGAAAAGATAAAAATTATATAAAAATGATAATTATTTTTTTATTTTTTATTTCTTAACCAAATTAATTTTTAATTTTTTAAAAAAATTCTAAAAATCAAACCATACATAGCTTAAGAATCTTTTGATAAGTTATTTTTTACGTTGGTAACTTATTTAATTATTTGTTAATTTTACGACATTTTTACCATCTGAAGCCTGTTTGGTAACTATTTCGTTTTTAGTTTTCAATTTATATTTATAAAAATTTAAAAAACTGCAATAAAAACTTGTTTGATAATTTTTTTGGTTTACAAATGGTTGTCTCAGTTTGTAAATTTGAGGAAAAAACATAAATTCAAAAGATGAGCTTACGTTGGTATTTAAACAGAAATTTAAAAATTTTACTAACAAAAATTTTTTTCAATTAATTTTTTTTAAATAATTTTTTTCCCAATGAATTTTTTTTCCAACTAATACTAATCAAGGGGGTAATTGATGCTACTTTAAATCTTAGAGAGGGGATTGTAATTTTTAAAATACGAGGGATGTCAATGTAATTTACCTAGTGAGGGCAAAATTGGTATTTAAAAAAATTAAATTGTTGAGGGGGGAATCTATAATGAAACTTTAAATCTAAGGGGGAGATGTAATTTCCAAAAGATGAGAGGAACTGTAATAAACATAAACCTCATGGGGTGTCAGTGTAATTTACCCTAAAAAAAACTCCTAAAACTAAATAGATTAACATTCCTATAGATAATTTACTAGTGGTAACCCCGTGCTATGCACGGTATGTAAAATAATTAATAATCTATACTATATATTAAGCAAAAGGGGATTTTTAACCCCGAGGCCTATGGGAGCCAATCTTCTAATCCTAATTTTCTAATTTTTTGATTTAAAAAAAAAATCTCAGCATTTATTGACTTCTCCCAACCCAACTCAGCATTTATTAACTTCTCCCAACCCACAATCCCTTTTGACTTCTCTCATAATTATTGCAACACCCTTTTCAATTTCTCCCATACACTATGGTTACACACAAAAATAAAATAAAAAAAAAGATAAGAATTTAGCTATAGATCTCAAAAAGATATAACATCTAAATTTGAATTATGATTTAATAATATAATTATGTATTTTTTTTTTACAAAAAATACAATTAGTTAAATTTTTGTATGCAAATTATGAAAACAAAAAAGATTAAAATTTACAATTTAAGTCCCACAATTTTATCACAATTTATATATTATTTTTTAATTTGTCACAAATTAAATCATGTAACTTTTAACCCTCCTTGCTAGAATTACAAACTTAGGTAGGTTACCTAAGCAACTTGGGTCGAGCTTAAATTGTTTAAAGATTAACAACATAATTTTTAATTAAATGAGGGCCTGTACAGAAATTTAAAAATTCAAATTAAATTTGAGTGGATTAAGCAGAAACACCAAATAACCTGAGCAATCAAAACCAAATTCTATATAAATATATAAATTATTTGCTAATTAATTTTTTTAAATAATAAATAAAATTAATTAAAAGTTTAATATTAATGAACAAAAGAAAAAGAAATATACTTAAGATTTTCAATAGAAATTTTCTTGAAAATATTTTTAAAAAATACACCTTTTAGAGAAGAATCATCGAATAAAGGGTTGTTTGAGAAGTGCTATATTAGCTCTTTTTTTTTTTATCTATTTATATTTTTTGGGTCACATCACATTTCTATTTTTTTACATATCTTTTCGTAAAAAGTAAAAAAATAATTACCTTTTTTAGGTCACATCACATCTCTATTTTCTTGTACAAATTTTCATAAAAGGAAAAAAATATACTTATTTTGCACTTTCCAAACTATCACTAAGTTGGTATTAAAAATACTTTTTATAATGACATAAATAATTTAAATATGAAATTTAAAAATTACAATAAAATATAAAATAGAATAAAAACAAATTTCTTACTAAATAAAAGTATTTGAACAAAAAAAAGTAAGAAGAAAATTTAATATGATATTTTCATTTAATTTGAAAATAATTTTAGTGGAATAATAAATTATCACTTGTAACTCTCTTTTTTTTTTAAATAAAAAAAATTTAACGTACTATCACTTTTAATAAAAAAAAATTTTAACGTTTCTTTCTAATTTATTTTAGCAAAAGTAATTTTTTAACAATTTGAACCAAAGATATCTTTATTCTTTATTTTAATTTTTTTAATTGACAATTGAGATTAAAAAAAATCTAACAAAATCCACCATCTTTGGTAAGTACTTAAAAAAATATGTTTTCTTCTTTTGCTAAGTATACTAAAAATAGAATTCTAATGAGAGTTTTAATTATGTGACAGTAGACTTTACTGATAAATAAGACTTTACTCATAAATAATTTGATATACATATTTTGTTTTTTTATTTCATACTACACCATTAAAGTCATTATTAAAATTTTAAAAGTTATGAATTGTTGTCATAAATAAAATTTTCACTGCCGTTCGCACACGTCACTCCGTACTTATAACGAACGTAAATAAATAAATTTTCCACTGCCGTTCGCAGACGTCACACTTGGACCGCACCATACACAAAACGGGTAATTATTCAACGTATGAAAAGTTGAGTTTGAGGATTTTTTTTAATTAAAATAGTCATAAAAATTAAAATAAAATTTTTAAATTAATAAAATAAAATATTATATTTAATCTATAATTATTATATATATTTTTTTATAAAAAAATTAAAAAATCAAAAAAATTAAAAATCCTTTTCAAATTAGATTTTTTAATTTCAAATTAAAAAATATAAAAATATATTAAATAATAATTAATTAGAAATTACATAATCTGAAGATATTTAATAATTTTCCACACAAAACACACCCACTCCGTACATCTCCCATACTCCACCGCCCACACAAAACTCCAGAAGTCCCCAGCAACGCCACACCAAAAGATCCCAACTCACAAACAACCAACAAACTCAAACATCTCTCTCTCTCTCTCTCTCTCTCTCTCTCTATATATATATGTTCATCTCTCTCTTCCACCTTTATTATTAGGGCATACATATAACATGTACGTAATGTCTACAGAGACGGTTTTTTAGCTACACCTTCTCTTCTGAATCGCTCTGATGCGATCCACCTTCCGGTCACCCTCTACCATTCATTCACCGACTCTCACCAGTCCCCAGCAACGCCACACCAAAAGATCCCAACTCACAAACAATCAACAAACTCAAACATCTCTCTCTCTCTCTCTCTCTCTCTCTCTCTCTGTTCATCTCTCTCTTCCACCTTTATTATTAGGGCATACATATAACATGTACGTAATGTCTACAGAGACGGTTTTTTAGCTACACCTTCTCTTCTGAATCGCTCTGATGCGATCCACCTTCCGGTCACCCTCTACCATTCATTCACCGACTCTCACCGGTCCACCCGGTTGATTTCTGGCCCCACCCACTTTTCCTTCTAATCCTACCCACCTAAAAATCGTTTCTTTAATTCGTTTTTCCATTCAAAGCTGGTCCCAAAAAGTAAGTAAAAGTTGTTAATTATGGCTCTGTAATTCACATTCTTTTCATGAATGTTCATGCATGTCCTTTTCCCTATGTTTAATTTTGTCCGATCTTCTTGGTTGATGGGTTCTCAATGTTTAATTGAAACAATGAGGAAAACAAATAAATAAATTATGGGTTTAATCTTGTTTTTTGTGTTTTCCCCTTGTGTTTCTCAGCATTCAATTAGTGTATTAAGTTGGTAATTGTGTTGGGTTTTGAATCTTTTTGATCTGTTCTTGTTGTACACTGTAAATTTGGCATAGCAGAATTGAATGTGTTCTTTTATGGGCTTATTGTTGCCTTCTTTTCTCCTCTGTTTCTCATAATCCAACCAGAATTATTAACTTCGTATCTTTATGTCTCTTTTTTGTTGTGTTTTGGTATGTTCCATTGTGTACTGTGTGAACCTCTCATATCAGAATTGAATGTGTTCTTTTCTCTCTGGGTTTAGTCTCGTTTTCTTTCTCAGCATCCAACCAGAGTATTAACTTGATACCTTTATATATCTATTGTATTGTGTTTTTAATCTTTTGATCTGTTCTGTATTGTACTGTAAACTGGTCATAGCAGCATTGAATGTGTTCATTTATTTGTTTAATAATTCAATTATTTTTTTTAATGAATTACTTAAATATTCTTAATTAAACTAAAGATTTTTTACTACTTTCAATCCCAAACAATTAGGGTCTTTCTATGGATACTACTCAAAATGGTAGTGTTACTACTATAAGAAACATTGACTCACTATGTACAGTGGCTGAGATTGAAGGATGTGATTTCTCGAGGTTTTCGGATCGGCCGAGGCCATTGAATATGGAGAGGCAGAGGTCATGTGATGAAAGGTCACTTAGTGAATTGTCTGTTGGGCTTTCTCCACATCCCTCGTATAGAAATACAGATTTGTCTTTTCGATTCGTGGACCATTTTGATGGTGCATTTTCACCCGGTAGAAGGTCTGGATTTAATACCCCGAGGTCACAAAATGGGTTTGAGCCTCATCCGATGGTTGCCGAGGCTTGGGAAGCTCTGAGGCGTTCGTTGGTATACTTTCGCGGTCGACCAGTTGGGACAATTGCAGCGTTAGAAGAGAGTGACGAAAAACTTAACTATGATCAGGTGAATCCCCAATTTCTCTGCTACAATGTGTTTGACAGAAGTATCTTTAGTGTTCTTAGCTTTCTTGTCAATTTTGTTGAAGTTTTTTTTGGTAAAGCTATTTGAAAACAGAATAGTGATATAGAATTTTGGGTAAATTACTTAACCTTCTCTGAGGTTTGAGCTCTCGTAAGATTTTAATTCACATAACACTCTGTCGCCTTTCTGAGTTTCTATCAATTATTTGTTAGTAATATTGATGTTATCATCTCAATCAGACTAAAATATGTCTTACCCTTGATAATCTATGTGTCTTCATATTATCTGCATTATTTTTTGTCGCTTTAGCTTTCCTAAAAGAGAGATTCGTGTAATTATGTCAAACTTGTAGGACTTATTGTGTTTTTTTTTTTTCAAACCCTAAGGCTGTCAATGTAATTTACCCTATAATTTTTGTGTAGAATGATATGGTTGAACTAGGGAAAATCAAAACATCTATAAAGTTGGTTCCTAATTAAAAATTGCCATCGTCACATCATTCTAGATGCATTTTATGTATAATTTTTTCTGAAAATCTTTTTACTACCAGCAGCATGTTTTGATTTCTTGCACATCTTCTAATGTAAGATTATGATGGTGATGGTAAGGAGAAACCAAAAAGCTCCCTTATTTGAGTCGTTTATTTTTTATATTTATTTTAAATTTTAATCTTTTATTGCTAATGGGAGCATAGACAGACACGAATGGCATGCATGCATGAGTTTTAACATATTACCGCTTAAAAGGTGGGATATCTTATTATTCTATGTAACTCAGGATGGCTTACTCATATCTTAAATTATGCTTATATTTTGGGATAGTTTATTTTGTTTCCACTGATAAGAAAGCTGCCTCTCTGCACCATTTGGTTGCTGATGACATGCTGGAAGGAAAATCAGATATCTGAATATTGAATACATGCATTTGATGTTTTTCATTCTCTGTGGCCGTGGCAATGTCTTGGTGGACTTCTTGATTGAGCTTCCAGAATAATGGAATGCCTGGTCCTACTGGATGGTGCATCTTGTGGAAGCCAGTTCTCTGTAGGGCAGCTCTTTCATAATTTATATAGTGCAACCGGTAAACCAGCTGTTTGTGTGGTCATTTATTTTGCCAATTACTATTTATCAAAGCTCATAACCTCAATATACTTGAATCACTTCGATTAGTGGTAAATGATAAACAAATCACAGGGCTTTAGGGGCAGTAAGTTGATAAATTGACCTCTAACTTCTTCTGCCTGTTTAGGTGTTTGTGAGAGACTTTGTTCCAAGTGCATTGGCTTTTTTGATGAACGGGGAGCCAGAAATAGTCAAGAATTTTCTTTTGAAGACTCTTCGTCTTCAGTCTTGGGAGAAAAAGATTGATCGATTCCAGCTAGGAGAAGGAGTGATGCCAGCTAGTTTTAAAGTACTTCATGATCCTGTCAGGAATACTGAGACTATAATGGCTGATTTTGGTGAGAGTGCAATAGGAAGAGTGGCACCTGTTGATTCTGGATTTTGGTGGATTATATTGCTTCGTGCATACACAAAGTCTACAGGAGACTCTTCCTTGGCCGAAATGCCTGAATGCCAGAAGGGTATGCGCCTGATAATGAGTTTATGCCTTTCAGAGGGATTTGACACATTCCCTACCCTTCTTTGTGCTGATGGATGCTCTATGATTGATCGTAGAATGGTGAGTTTCTATCAGTTACTTCTTTATGTAATTATTTGTCGGCCATATTTGATATTTCTCTTAGGCTGTGCTTGGATCAGGGATTTGAGTGAGGATTTGTAAAGGAAAAGGAACAATGAATGAAATATAAGCTATATATTTTTCACTTTTCCCCATTCTCTTTTTCTTTCACTCTCCAAATCACCTCTCAATAATCGTTGATCCAAACACAGCCTTCCTAGCCACTGCTTGTCTTCGACTATTTGTTTGTGCCTTCTGATGTTGATGTGTATCACATGTGGAGATGAACTTTGTGAAGTATTACTTTTTTAGGTTTTTTAGTGGACCATGTAAGATCTGAGGCATTTGTTTGTGAACTTGTTTCGTTATGTGAATGACATAATTAGACTACTATGGGAAGAAAAGGTTATAGATGTGTTAATTGGTCAACAAGACTGGATGTGATTCAGTTACATCCAGTTAGGAAGTCAACAACTATCATGCAAGTGTTTGGTTTATATTTATTAGACTACAGCCTGCTTGAACTGGCTGTATAAGCAACATTGACGTGTATAGTTATTATCTCATTGGCACAGGGCTTCAGCTCAATTTTCGACCGAACTAATGCAAAGTATATTAGAAATCCATTTATTTTCTGAATTTAGATTTTATTTGTTTATTGAATTTCATTTCACCAATTGTTCTGATTTTTGGGTTGTATTTTTTGTCTAAATTTTGATGAATTCAAAATTTTGGTCAACTGATCTGAATCTTACTTTGTTTTTACTTGGGATTTTTCTTTATGCTTTTCTACAAGCCCCTCTTGCCACTTGATTAAAAATATGGGAACTCAATAGAATCTGATGAAGCTTTATACAAATTATATATCAAGAAATATTTTTGAGAACCTTGAGAAACATGTGCTGTTATTGTAGGAAACGATAAAATGGATATCAATAAACTTCAAAAACCTTGTACAATAAGAAGCTATCATTTCAAAGGGGAAAAACAAGATTGGTTTCAAGTGAAATATGCTTGCCTAAATCCATTAAGCTTTAAGAGTCAATGCAATGAGTAAACGGACAATAGATAAGTGTGTTGTGTTATCACGAAAGGAATATAAGAGAGGGCTGGGTGTCATGAGGCAATTGCCTCTCTTACCCATTCTTAGGTACAATGTTCACTTTGACCCAAATCCAAAAGCTTTACCCAGTTCCTCCGGACCACAGTATGTGACTTATATTACTTTTCAGTTTAACAATTCTATACTTATGAATCTATGATGGGAATCTGTACAAGATACGAAATTAGGGCTGCAAAATGAGCCAAACTACTCGAGCTTGACTCATATTTGGCTCGTTAAATGCTCATTGGAACTCAACTTGTTATGCAAACAAGCCAAGTTAGAACACATTTTAAAGCTTGTTAACTTATCAAGACAAGTTTGATCAATCTATTACTTGGCTTAATGAGCCTATATGTGCTATGAAAACCAAGCTACTCGAGCTTGACTCGTGTTCGGCTCGTTAAAATTCATTGGAGATTGGACAAGCTAAGCTTGAACTTTATGTAAACAAATGAAACTCTTTGGCCGAGGCAATGTAGTTGACAAAATTATTGGATGTTGGAGATGCTTAAATTACTTGTATTATTTTGATTAATTGTTTGGTTATTCTAAATTTTATTCTGTTTGTCTCACTGTATATTTGTTTTTAGGGTGTTTATGGGTACCCAATTGAAATACAAGCACTTTTCTTCATGGCTTTGAGATGTGCTTTGATTTTACTCAAGCAAGATGCTGAGGGGAAGGAGTTTGTAGAGCGAATAGCTAAGCGTCTTCATGCCTTGAGCTTTCACATGAGAAGTTACTTTTGGTTAGATTTGAAGCAGCTTAATGATATATATCGATACAAGACAGAGGAGTATTCTCACACTGCAGTCAATAAGTTCAATATTATGCCCGATTCTCTGCCAGAATGGATCTTTGATTTTATGCCAAAGCATGGGGGCTACTTTATTGGTAATGTTGGTCCTTCAAATATGGATTTCCGTTGGTTTTGCTTGGGAAACTGCATTGCAATCCTATCATCGTTGGCGACTCCTGAACAGTCTACGGCAATCATGGATCTAATAGAATCACGTTGGGAAGAATTGGTTGGAGAAATGCCGCTAAAGGTTTGTTATCCAGCTATAGAAAGCCATGAATGGCGGATTGTAACTGGATGTGATCCAAAAAACACCAGATGGAGTTACCATAATGGAGGGTCTTGGCCAGGTACGATTCTTTCATTGTAGGTTTTATTGTTCCGAAAATTGGGATTTGACTCAAACTGATAATGAGCCTTTTGGGAAACTGTAATTGCAGCTAGAAGAGTCTAGCTCATAGCATTAGTTAATCACATATGAGTTAAGACGCACCGACACTTGAAGATGGGTACCGTGCCTGTGTCCGACACACCTGGGACACCCACATGGTGGGGACAAGTGTGTCCCATGTCTGACACACCACCTGCTTGCCAATTTTTTTAGGATACGTTGGGGACACCTCATGGACTCGCATGTCCTATGTTTGGATGTGCCTCAGGATACCTTTGTAGGGTTTGTGTTTTTTTTTTTTTTTGGATGAGAAAATTGATTTGAGATCAGAGTAACATATATGGAAATAAAGAGGGAATAAGTAGAAAAATAAAATAAAATACACTGGTTTCTCATATCTATGAATCTTAATTTTATATTTATATATGTAGTAAGGCCTCGTTTGGGAACAAACCCATTTAGCCAAAAAAGGTAAAAAGTTACTAAAAAAATAAAAAAGCCAACAATCCATACCAAAAAGTCAAAGATTCTCTTTTCTCTCTACTTTTTGCACATCTTTTCGTAAAAAGTCAAAAAGTCATCCCAAACATACTAGTTTTTTTAGCTCATATTTTAGTCAAATAGCCAAAAAGTTACTAAATTAGCTTGTTCCCAAACGAGGCCTAAATAATAAAAGGGTAAATTACCAATAGGTCCTAATAGTTGACATTCCCATCACATTCTATTGAAAATAAGTCCTAGTAAAATCGTCGCTAAAAATAAGTTTTTGTGACGATTTTTTTGCATACATCATTAAAAAATTGACAATTAGTGACTTTTTTTTTTTGGGTCACGATTTTATAAATTGTTACTAAAATTTACAATTAGTGATGTTTTTCTGTGACAAATTTTTCTAACTCTCGTTGAAAGTTGAAAATTAGTGACTTTTTTTTGTGACGATTTTTGTAAACTGTCGTTAAAACTTATAATTAGTGATATTTTTGTGACAATTTTCAAATTGTCGTTGAAAATTAATAATTAGTGATGTTTTTTTAATAGTGTTTAATGCCATTAATTCTCACAGGCATCTTGGACAATAAGTCCACTTATTAGGACCTAGTAAGTCCTCCTAAATAAAAATATATAAGCATTATATATTTTTGTTGTGTTTCCTCCATGTGTGTCTTAATTTTTTGAGAATTAATGTCCTATGTTTGTTCTGGTGCCCGTATCCGTGTTTCTTGGCATTTGAGGAAAAAAAGCAAATATAGTATGGCATTTTCATATTTCTCAAAACAACTTTTTTTTTCTTTTTCATAAAATTTTGAGATGATAATCACTTGATTTTTATCAAGATGGTCCTGTTTACAGTTTTTCAAGGATGATGTAATAAGTTTGATCAAGCATAGGAAGTTCCTATTATGGGGTGAGAATTGAGAAAGAGTGCACTCTGCTCAATGCTCCAAATTTTCAGTCTACTCCATTCTAAAAATTTGGACATGACAATTTACGAAAAACATTAAAACTGAAAACCGCCTTATTATTTTCCTGTATAAACATTTTCTTACATATATTTGGCTCAACTGTTGAAAAATGTCCACACACACACGCGAGAGAGAGAGAGAGAGAGAGAGAGAGAGAGAGAGAGAGAGAGGTGATTTCCGGCAACACTCCGGCAACCCATTTTACACTTCTAAAGTGTAGATCTACACTCCTAGAGTATAGATCTACAGTTTTCGGGTGTAGATCTGAACTTTTTATGTCTGAAATAGGGGTTTTGAGAGTTTTCCCCTATGATTTCGGTATAGATTTTTGGATCTTCAACACCTACAAGGGTTCCCTCTTCTCTCAAGCCTTCTCCCATACTATTGTGGGTATACTTCTTTCTCAACTCTTGCTTTTTGGCTGTGTTCAATATCCGGTGGCGGCGGAGTTGGGCAACAGCTAGGGGGACGACTGACTTTCAAGCAGATCTTGCTTTCCAAACCACATCTTTGAGAAGATCGGTGGTTTTCCCTGGCTCGTAACTATTTTTTTGGCTGATTTATTTTTTATTTTTTGTTGTTTGTTTTTTGTTTTGTTGTTTGGTTGGATGGCCCTTTGAAGTCTTATTTATGTAATGTTGTTGTTTATTAATATAATGTTTCCCATGTTCTCAAAAAAAAAAGGTTTCTGTTGTGGTTTTGCAGTGCTTTTATGGCTCCTCACAGCTGCATGCATCAAGACAGGACGACCCCAAATTGCAAGACGCGCCATTGAACTTGCGGAGAGCAGGTTGCTGAAAGACAGCTGGCCTGAATATTACGATGGTAAGCTTGGTCGATACATTGGGAAACAAGCTCGAAAATCCCAAACCTGGTCCATTGCTGGTTATTTGGTGGCGAAAATGATGCTTGAAGACCCGTCCCATTTGGGTATGGTATCGCTCGAGGACGACAAACATATAAAGCCCCTCTTGAAACGATCGGCTTCCTGGACTTTTTAGTACTTTTAGGTTTGAAGCTTCCTAGCTAGAAGTGGGGAAAAGAAATTGAAGAATAGTTTTCAGAGGCTTCGTCATGAAAAAAGTAGAGAAGTGAAGCTTTGAAGTTTGTTCATTCCATTGCAGTTGAGAAACTCTTTCAGCAAATAAGTTGTCTGTGGGATGCACTTTGTATTGTGCCCTTCATACAGGCAAAATATTACATTAGTTCTTTGAGTTAATCTTTGCTCACTTTTGTGGTATGTAGATGGTAGTGGAGTTATATTTGGTGTATGATATAATTGAATAGAGAACATTATAGAAAGACAAGAGTGGTAGATGTAGGTGGCAATTTGCTTGAATATGGGTAGAATGGACTTAACTAGTTAACTAGGATAAATTGGTCTTTGCGCATTACTTAAATTTAGGGTATAATCCACACCACAGCCTAGCCCTTCTCCACCCCACACCATCCTGACACCATAGTCGTCTAATAAAGAGAGGGATGACAAGAGAGATTGTGACACCACACAATCGCTACAAAGAGAGGTTACAAGAGAGGCTACAAGAGAGAGCGAAAGAGAGGCTTGGTGGTGTTATAGTGGTGCGGTAGTGGGTCGGGGGTCACAGGGATGGTGGTTGGGTGTGGGCGGGCGGTGAGAGGGATTGGGGTGGATAGGAGTGGGGCTGGAGGTAGTGGTGGCATTGGCGTTGGCGAGGTCAAGTGGGAAAGGGGCGGCTATTGGTTGGGGAAGATGGGGATGAATGGTTGGCAAGGGAGAGGGAGAAAGGATGGAGAAGGAGAAAAATAACTTTTCCTTTACTTCCTTGTTTTAAAAAAAATGTTCTCTTCAAACTATACTCTTGTATAAAAAAAGGTAAATTACAAATATACCTCTTAAGATTTGCATAAAATATAAATTGCTTCACGTGGTTTGAAAAATTACAAATACTCCCTTATTAGAATTTTTTATTTAACAAAATTAATTAAAAATATAAAATTCATAATTGCTTTCTTATACAATAATAAAATTACTTAAATTATTAATTGAAACATGTTTTTAACATTATTAAAAACTGTTAATTGACTTGATGATTTATTAATAAAAGGGGCTATTTGTTGTGAAATTAGAAACTTCAAGGGGTGTAATGTAATTTTTAAAATCACAGTAAGTGATTCATATTTTAATCAAATCTTAGGAAGTATATTTATAATTTACCCAATAAAAATAAAGAGATGGTTGGTGTTGGTGAACAACCACGAAGAAATGTATCTAGATAATCTTATTGTTTGGTACATAGGACATAAACCGTTCTTTTTTATCATGCTTCACATTCGTAATTTTTTGAGATAGAAAATGCAATATATTGGTATTTGACAATTCAATGTTAAATTTGAAATAATTCTTCGTGTTGAATTCTGGCAATTTGAAGCTAATTCGAGCCTAATTTTGGTCTTATTCGAGTTTTATAAGGTATGCTGAAGTTTAGATAGAAGTTAGGCCTCGTTTGGGAACAGGCTAATTTAGTAACTTTTTGGTTATTTTGCTAAAAAGGTAGGTAAAAAAAACTTGTACGTTTGGGATGACTTTTTGGCTAATTACGAAAAGATGTGCAAAAAGTAGAGAGAAAAGAGAATCTTTGACTTTTTTGTATGGGTTGTTGGCTTTTTGGCTAATTTAGTAACTTTTTGGCTAATTGGCTAAAATAGCCTCTTGCCAAACGAGGCGGGACTGAACTTAGATAAGCTTTCAATTAGAGACGGACATTGATCGAGTTAGGTTAAAGTCAGAATTATAACACATAAGAATATATGTGTCATCTCAAATTTAATTAGTTTTACCTAGCTGTACGGAGGCGAAATATCCTCTGTTCTCCGTACTCCTTGGTCGTCAAGCTTCTTGTAACGGCGTCTATCTCTGCAACACAAAAAGGTGAGCTGCCCGGCGATGGTGTGCTGGAAAAACCCTCCGACGATCAAGTCAGACCACTAGCTAAAAAAGAAAGCTATCAGGGAGAGAGTTTTTGATAGGATGAATTCGCTTACCTCCAACGTCCCTCTTCCTCCATATTTCTAGGCTGGCCATGCAGCCTCAAGATTGTGCGCGCACTACCTCTATTGTCCTTCCCTGGACAGGTGGCAGTGCTCGCCTCTCACCACCTTACGCGTGTAAAGGCTTAGTCCTCCCTCCAATACACACAGAACTGCCCAACGGTATTGAGGCGTGCGTGGAGCGGATGTCCTCTCCCTCACGCCATTGGCCCAGGTGGCATACTTAACCGGAGTACCACGACGGGCCTGTCAGTTGTGGAGAGTCGCTATTACATGCTCATAACCGAGCTATGTGTCGCCGACCTATAACTTGGAATCAGGCGAAAGCCTGCCTACCTCGGCCGAACTATCATTGGTCGGTTCATCATGACCATCCAGTTGCGAGGCATGCCGGCCTCCAACCGGCCTACCTTCAATCTTGGTCACACGAAGCCACTTTATATCGACTGACCGGTCCAAGGTGCACCGGCCTTGATCGCGCCCACGGACTAGCTCGGGCTGCCTTTTAGCCCGGTCAGCATCCGCTAACCCAAGCTCCGTCCAACACGTTCAAGACGCAGCTCAGCTATGCCAGTTGGAGCCTAACCGGTCAATATTTCCGACCGTGCAAGGCAGGCCGCTGGTCATGTCAACAGAGATTACCTCGGCGCTACGCGGTCCGTCACGTCTGACGTTATCTCAGCTCGGCCGTACAGTCAGGTGCAAATCTCCCCTCTCAATTGCCCCTTAAACCCATCCGAGCTATCGTGATTGGGTTTACCTCTGTGACCGAGCTAATCGGTTGAATTGCACCATTACCGAGCCGAGCATCATGGGGAAATATCTGGCGTCGAGCTGTCCCTTTCGGCCGGCCATCGTGTCGGCAGTCTTGTCAAGGGTCGTACGGCCGTACAGCCGTACTGACAGCCGCGTTTCCAGTGCCAAGTGGCTTCACGCCATTGGGTCGTGCAGCCAGCTGTTCTGCACGCGCAGAATTCAAACGGCTGCGCCGTTTGGGTGGTTTCCCCCCTTTTTATGCACAGACCAAGGGTCATTCGAACCCTTCACTCTCCATCTTCTTCCAGAGCTCCAACCCCTAGCCTCCCATCGCTCCAAGCTCCCAACCGTTGCTGCCCCTTGCTGTGTCTGCCATTCCTGACGTTGCAGTCGAGCTCTCGAGGCCTAACTCATTTCTCATTCATTTTCGGTAAGTCACACTACCCCTCCCTTGTATTTTCTGCTCCCGTTTTCCAGTTCTCCCTGTTCTCTGCGTTTTTTTGCCATTGTGCTTGGTGTTCCCTGCCTGGGACCTTTAAGGTTCCTCCTTTTTAGTAAAATAGTGCCATACCTTAGGAAAACTGGAACTGGTGGAGTGGAGGGGGCTTTCGTGCCCCTGTTTCCCCTTAGTTTGAACGAATGAGCCTTGAGCATAGATTAAACGAGATGAACAGGATGAACACTGTTCAAAACCGAGCTAAATGCTCATTTAGATCCGTAGAGAGAGTTTAAACCGAGCAAGAATGGTTTGTGGATGCTCGCCGAGGCCGCAACCGAGCTAAATGCTTAATAAAATCGACAAACAGGTCTAACCGAGCTAAAACTTGCCTTGACTAAACCAAAGATAGAATCAGAGCCAAACCAGGAAGGCTAAATCAGCTGTGTCGTCCAGCCGAGATAGGGATAGACCGACCAAAAACCCAAAAACAATCACCGAGCTAAAAAATCCAGCGTGAGCCGTTTAGTTTATGCCGTGCTAACCCTTGAAATTCTTTCTTAATTAATGCAGAACAAACTAGGACCGACCAAGCCCTTCAGCGTTACCACTGGTGGAGCTCAAAGTCCGAGCAAATACACCAGCATTTTTGACTGGGATACACACTAAACCAAATAGAACCGAGATAATGGGGAAGTACCGATTTATGGTAAGCTCGCCTGGCGCGATGGCCGAATTTAGAAGGGAATACAACGTTCCTGATGACGTCATCTTAGAACTCGCCAAAAAAAGAGACACACCATGGGGCGACTTAGACCGGTGCCCCTTCACGGTCGTTTCCATTGTTGAAGGAGGGCTTCGCTTCCCCGTGCAACCTTTGATCTGCGAATTTTTGAGGCAGACGAGGCTTTGCCCGACCCAAGTTTCAAATAACACATACAAAATAATAAACGGCGTCGCCGAGCTGAACCGGAGGCTTGGTTTAAATCTCGGTCTTGCAGAAATTTTCCACCAATATAGCCTAAGTAGAAATAAGAGTGGGCTTTGCTGGTACCTCAAAGTCAAGAAGGGCCGAGCAAAACTCATTGAAGGCAACCTAGACAAAGAAACTAACAACGACGACTTCCTCTGGGTGTCCGGTGCTTATGAGGACACCGAGGCGCCCATACCAGGCTGGTACATTAGGAAAGATTTTGGCCGTGCTGGTAAGTAGCCCAGCTGACCGCACTATCCACTTTCTGCATTTCATTATTATAATTTTGCACCGGTCTAACACTTACCTCCTATCTGCAGATAAGTACCTAGCAGCGAACTACCACCAGGCCAACCAAGAGGCCATCAGAGTCCTGCTTCGCCATCCAGCCGAGGAGAGGGAGTCATCAAAACTTCTCGGTTTCGAGCAAACCTACCATTACCAAGCGCCGCGCAAGAGCAGAGTCACCGACTTCCTACGTGCGCCATCCCCTGAACCAGATCCCAACTTGCCACCAATCAGACTCGTCCCCCTTACAGCCGAGCAAGAAATGGCCAAGATAAGAGCGATCAAATCAATGATTACTGGGGAGGAAGGGGAGTCCCATCCTCCAGAGGCGACCGGGGGAACATCTTCCACCCCAGCCGGGCAAACAGAAGGAGCTGTGCTTGCTCTCGCCAGCGAACAACCGGCTGGCCGATCAAAGAAAAGGACGAGGAAGGAGATGACCAGGCAAAACCTCGTTGATGAAGATTCAACTGAGGTCGCCTCAACCGAACCGGGGGACCGGACCGAGCAACCGCTGGCCGGCAAATCCAAGGGCAAGGGCCCAGCCACCCCCCCGGTCTGGGCGCCCGAGTTCAAATACCAGGGCCGGGCAGTTTCTTCTGAGGACTCCGTCTACGCGGACAAAGATTACTCGCTTGGTTTCAATTTGACCAAGGGGTTAATCTTGCCCGCTGATATGAAAAAACATGACGAGCTTTCCGACCTCAAGGTCCTCCGCTCGGCGGCGAAATCCATAGTGCTGGTAAGTTCTCCATTTTTTTATGTTAAACTGTTTGCTCGGTTTTTGCGCGGTTTTTCGAGTACTAATAGTCTCTCACTGGTTTTCAGGCCGCGCAAAAGAACTACTTGGCCCACGACCGGATGATCAAAGTGCGGCAGAGCCTGCGCGATGCCATCTCAGAGAACAAGGCCCAGAAAGGCGAGATAGCAAAACTCAAGGCCGCGCAAGAAGCAGTCGTGGCAGAGCGAGATACCTTGCTCCAAAAAGTCGACCGAGCTAGCGAGGAAAAACAACGAGCCGTGAAGTCGACGAAAGCTCGGTATCTCGCCGAGCTGCGGAAGCTGCGCGACGCCCATAAGGAAGAAAGGGACAAAGCGGTCGATGAGGCAGAGAACCGTGGATATAAGCAGGGGGAGAAAACCTACGAGCGCCAAGTCCAAGCGACCAAGGACATCTTTTTCCAGCGCGGCTGGAAGGCTGCGTGGAAAAAGTTGGCCTTGGTCAGGATGCCGAAATGTTCATGAACCCCCCTGCAGCATATATCCCGGTCTATATGCAGGCCTACGCCAGTGCTACCCAAAACCGGCTCATTGCGGAGGCAAGGAAGGAGGCCGAGGAAGAAGCCGCCACCGCGCGACAAGCCGAGCAAACTACTGCCGAAGTATCACAAGATGACGAAGTGGCTGATCGGGATGTTGCCGTGGGGGATGGAGCTGACGACGACGCCGAGGAAAACTTGCCCGAGCAGACAATTGTGATGGCCGAGCAGACGGTGCAGGCAGCCGGACAAACTGTAGATCTTGAAATGGATTGAAAATTTCCCCCATTTTTTTTGGCATGTAACCGGGCCAGGCCCCACCTTTGTACTGAATCTTCTTCAATCAATGAAACTTTTGAACCTTTTGTTCGTATATCGTCTATTTCTTTTCGGTTGGCTTGTGTATAAATGTCTCGATTTAAACGTTGATAATTCACAACCGGCAGGTCGGCTGAGCCGCGCAATATGCCAAGCTGAAATCACCCAGAATGTTTTCCAACATCTGGCAGCTTAGCTCCTTGAAAATTTAAATGAACTGACATTGTAACTTGGCCGAGCAAAATCCGCTCGGTTTGAAATGTTTGCAGAATCATACATTTCCATTACATCAGTGAGACCGAGCAAAAATCAGCTCGCCTTGTGAGTTAGTTAAGCTGCCAACATTTCCTTTCGGCCGAGCCAAGTCAGCTCGGCCTCTTATCGGTTGGACAAAACGCCAGCACTGAGAAATCCTGCCGAACAAAATCCGCTCGTTTCCCATATTGGACAAGACACCGATATCCCGACTGGGCCGAGCAAAATCAGCTCGGCCCTTACATTGGGCAAAACACCAATGTTTCAGCTAGGTTGGTCATGATGCCAACATTTCGACGGGGCGAGGGGAACCAGCCCGGCCCTAGGCTAATGCGAACTTTTCCCTACGGAAACTTTTTGTGCGGTCTGTCTCCATTCCAGCGAGATGAAATCAGACCGGTCTCATTCAGGGTGGTCTTCTTGCCCCTAGCATCCATGATTGCCTTGTGTCCTTGCGATTTCATTGTACAAAGAAGTAATACCAAACAAGAGTGCTATTTTTATTACAAAAGCATTGCTATCTTTTACATCTAGTGCCAAGAGGCTAAGGGTCTGGAACAACATAAGCAAATTACAATTCAAAAGTAAAAAACCTTAAGGTTGGCTGCATTCCATGGTCTGGGGACAGTCTTGCCATCCAAATCTTCCAGATGGTATGCCCCTTTGCCAGCTAAACCAATCACCTTGTATGGTCCTTCCCAATTCGCACCGAGCTTTCCTTCGCCAGGGACCACCGTGTTGCCAAGTACCTTTCTCAAAACCCAGTCTCCGACCTTGAACAGCCTGGGGTGCACCGCCTTGTTGTATTTCTTGGAGAGTTCTTGTTGATAAGCTGAGATGTGGATTAGTGCCCGCTCCCTTCTTTCCTCGGCAAGGTCTAATTCCAATGCCATGGCTTCATTATTCAGATCAGGTTGGAAACTTTCAGAGCGGATGGTTGGCATGCCAATTTCTAACGGGATGACCGCCTCCATGCCGTAGGCCAAAACGAATGGTGTTTTCTCGGTCGACCTTCTTGGGGTAGTGCGGTATGCCCAGAGCACGTTGGGAAGTTCCTCAGCCCATTTCCCCTTGGCTTTTTCAAGCCGCTTCTTTAGCCCATCCAAGATGGTCTTGTTTGAGGCCTCTGCTTGACCGTTAGACTGAGGATAGGCCGGCGTCGAATTGTAGAACTTGATCTTCAACTCTTCGCAAAGTCCGCGAAAGAGCTTCCTATCGAATTGAGTGCCGTTATCTGAGACGAGGGCCCTGGGTATACCGAAGCGAGTAATGACGTTTTGCCAAACAAACTTCTTCACATCCTTTTCCTTTATGGTCGCCAGTGGCTCGGCCTCCACCCACTTGGTGAAGTAGTCGGTGGTGGCGATGAAGAACTTGCGATTGCCCGGCGCTGCTGGGAGTGGTCCAACAATATCCAATCCCCAAAGCGCGAACGGCCAAGGACTTGTGAGAGGGAGCAAATCTCTAGCCGGCTGGTGGATCTGGTGAGCAAACTTCTGACACTTCTCACACCTGCGAACATATTTCTGTGCGTCCGCCTGTATGCACGGCCACCAGTAACCTTGGGAAATTGCTCGGTACGCCAAGGATCTGCCTCCAGTATGGCTTCCACAGATGCCTTCATGTATTTCGTAGAGAAAAGTCTCCACTCTGGCGGGGTGGACACACTTCAAATACGGCCCGGTGAAGGACTTCTTGTACAAGGCTCCAGATGGGGAGAGCCAAAACCGCTCTGACTTTGCTCGGATTTTGTGGGCTGCCTTCCTTTCCTCCGGTAGAACTCTGTCTTTTAAGAAGGCGATGATGGGATCCATCCAGGAAGGACCCAAGTTGGTGCAGAGCACCTCGGTTGCTTCCGGGTCCTCAATGCTTGGCCGGGGTAAAAACTCTATCATCAAGGGGTTAGGAAAAGCTGTCTGAGTGGAGGCGAGCCCAGCCAATTCGTCAGCCGAGTTGTTTTCTTCGCGGTTGATCTGTTCCACTCTTATTGCAGGGAACTTCTTGATCTCTTCTCGCACCAACGCTTGATACTTGGCCATTCTTTCATCCCTTGCCTCATACTCCCCTGATACCTGATTGACCACCAGCTTGGAGTCGCTGAAGACCATAAGGGCGGTGGCCTTCATTCTCAATGCGCTTCTCAAACCGGCGAGGAGGGCTTCATACTCTGCCTCGTTGTTGGACGCCGGGAATCCGAGCGTAATTGCTTGCTCAATAATCAGCCCATCTGGTGAGGTCAGCACAATTCCTAGCCCGGCCCCATGCCTATTGGACGCCCCATCGACGAAGAGCTTCCACATCTCGCCAATGAACAGTTTCCAATAATCAGACGGGTTTTGGAAGCTTCTCAATTCAATGTCTCTGGCCTGCTCGTTCTGGTCTTTTTTCTCGTCTCCATTGGGTTCACCTTCCAACGAGTTGTCGGACTTTGCTAGTTCGGTCAAGCTTTGCCCTTTTCCCACGTGCGAGCCAACGCTCGTCTCCGTTGTCAAAACCTTGGGTTGTGCTAAATCCGCACCAACCAAATCAATCGGGCAAATTGGATGCGTCCCAAGGGCAAATTCCGCCACAAAATCTGCAAGAGCTTGGGCTTTGACCGCGGTGCGCGGGCGGAACCTGATGTCATACTGCCCCAATTCCACGGCCCGCTTCAGAATCCTCCCGGTGAAGTCGGCCTTCTCAAAGAGCACCTTGAGAGGGAATTCGGTCAGCACAACTATTGTATGGGCATGAAAATAGTGTGCCAGCTTTCTCGACGCCATCATTAGGGCCAACGCCAATTTCTCCAAGGGAAGATATCTTGTTTCGGCCGGGAGCAGGGTCTTGCTTACATAGAAGATTGGTAGGTGCTGGATGCCTTCAGCACGAATCAATACCGCGCTCACCGCGTGTTGAGAAACAGCCAAGTAGAGGTACAACTCTTCGCTCGGCTGAGGCGTGACCAAAATTGGGGCTGAGGAGAGATACGCTTTTAAGTCCGCTAGTGCACGGTCGCACTCTTCATCCTAGAAGAACTTGGACTTCAGAGTTTTGAAGAAGGGCCTGCAACGATCCGAAGACCAGCTGATGAATCTGTTCAGCACAGCCGCCATCCCGGCGAGATGTTGCACGTCCTTTGTAGAATTCGGGCGCTCCAGCTCTTGTATCGCTTTGATCTGGGATGGGTCGGCTTCAATTCCCTGGTTTGTAACCAGAAAACCCAGAAACTTTCTAGTGCCAACTCCGAAGGCGCATTTGGAGGCGTTCAGACGAAGCTTATGGTGCTTAAGTATGGCGAACATTTCTGCTAGGTCGGTGAGGTGTTCAGACTTCTTCTTACTCTTTACCACCATATCGTCGATGTAGGCCTCCATTGTTCGGCCCAAGAGAGGAGCGAACATTTTGGTAACCATCCGCTGAAAGGTTGCTTCGGCGTTCTTTAGTTCAAACGGCATGACTTTGTAACAATATAATCCTCTTGGGGTGGTGAACGATGTAATCTCTCTGTCCGGTTTATACATGGCTATCTGGTGGTAGCCGCGATAAGCGTCCAGGAAGCTAAACCTCTGATGGCCAGCGGTCAAGTCCACCAGCTGGTCAATCCGTGGAAGGGGAAAGCTATCCTTAGGACAAGCCCGGTTGACAGTCTTGTAGTTAACGCAGACTCGCCACTTGCCATTTTTCTTGGGAACAACCACCGTGTTGGATATCCACCGAGGGTATTGCACTTCTTCTATAGCCCCGGCTTCCAACAAGTTCTTCACTTCTTCCGCCACCACTTCAGCATGGTGCAGGGCTGAACGGCGCGTCCTTCGAATGACTGGCCGTGCGTTGGGGAAAACATTCAACTGATGACAGATGAAGCTCGGGTCGATGCCAGGCATGTCGTAAGTCGTCCAAGCAAAGGCCTCCAAATTGGAAACCAAGAAGTTGACATAATCCGCTCGCTCGGCGCTAGACAAAGATGATCCCAAGAGGAAGAATTTAGTTGGATCGTTTTCATCAAAGCGCACTTCCATCAAATCTTCGACTGATTTTTCCTCGGCCTTCCTTCCCATGTCTTCAAGGACCTCTTTTTCCTCGGGTCCCTCGATCATTTGGACAAACCATTTGGCTGCTCGGCTGCCATTTACCACAACGAAGCATTGTTTTGCCATCACCTGGTCTTCCCAAACTTCCTCTATTTGCCCGCTCGACGCCGGAAAGCGCATGACTTGGTGGAAGGTCGAGGTAACCGCTTGCATAGCGTGCAGCCAGCCCCTATCTAAGATCAAGTTGTAGGTGGATGGAACTTTGAGCACCCAGAACTCCACTTGCTTTACTACTGAACCCGCTTTGACCGGCAAAATAATCTTTCCGATTGGCCACTCCGGCTGTGAGTTGAAGCCGACCAAAGGAGACGTCACAGGGGCCAAGTCCTTGTCTTCTAACTTCATCTGTTTGAACGCGTCATAATACATGATTTCGACCAAACTCCCCTGGTCGATCAAGATTCTTTTGATATCAAAGTCCTTGACGCGAAGAGTGACTACTAAGGCATCATTGTGCGGCATCTGAACTCTTTCCAAGTCCTTGGTTGAGAATGAAAGGATGTCCCTTTCTTCGGTCTTTCCTTTCTTCACAGCGGGCTGAACAGAGAGCACTTTCCTCATGTGCTCGGCCTTCTTGATCATCCCCCTCAGCTCGCAAACCCTGGCCGGTTCAATGATTCCGTGAATGACGTTGATTACACCTTGCGGGGGTGCTTCTAGAGCGGCCAGGCCGTTTGGCTCGACTTGGTCTGTTGGCGTGGCCTTGATGCCCCCATCTATGTATTGGTCAAGATGCCCCGCCGCCACCAACTCCTCTAAGTGTTGCTTGAGCGGCAGGCAGTCCTCTGTTCGGTGCCTCTATTCTTCATGAAAGGTGCAGCGATATTTTGAATTGAAGCCTCTCTGGGCACTCCCCAACTTGGCCGGCCAACGGACGAAGGGTTCGCTTTGAATCTCGCTCAAAATGCGGTAGATGGGGATTTTAAACACCGTGGTGATCCCAGTCCGTGACTTTAATTTTCTTTTGGCATCCTCCGCTGCATCACGGGGAGGGTCTGCCCGGTCGTTTCGGCACCCCTTGTTTCTGTCATCACGGTTTGGACCATGGCGCTGGTTTTTCGACCGGTTGTTTGGGCGGCTATCCTCCTGCCCAACCGAGTGAACTTTTCCCGCGACCCTCCTGTCCGCCGCGACCGGATTAACCTTCTCGGTCGCGGAGGCGGCATCATCCTCCACACGAATGTGCTCATTGATCCGCTGCATCAATGACTCTATGGTTGTAGGTTGATGCATCGTGAGTGAATCTCGCAGCCTATGTCCGACTGGGAGACCCCGTTTGTACTGAGTGATCGCCAGATTGGTGGGGCAGTCGAGGATCTCATTGTAAGTTTCCCAGTATTTCGCATTGTATGCCTTCAACGAACACCCAGGCTCCATCTTGACGCCCAGGAGATGGTCGACCTCCTTCGGCGTTCGTGTGTTGGTTTTGAATCTGGTGACGAAGGCTTCCGCTAGCTGTTGCCACCCCTCTATACTCCCCTCCGGGAGCCTTTCAAACCACTTCAGACCCAGCTCTCCCAAGCTTGCTGAGAATATGAGACACATCAGAGAGTCGTTGCGCCGGTGGCCAGCCATCACCTGCCGATAATGACTCACGTGCATGTACGGATCCGTTTTGCCGTCGTACAAAGTGAACTTTGGCTGGTGGAATCCGGCGGGGAGTGACGTACTCTCAATCTCTGGAGACAGCGGCGTGGCTGTAAGTCGCGCCAGCTCTTTGTCCTCCAGCGTAGGGGCCATCACTTTGGGGGCTGGCATCGCCACTTCCTCACTATAACGCACTGGAGCGCTTATCCTCTGCAGTGCCGGCACTCTTCGAGCCTCCCGACAGCGCGCCCTCTCTTCCAATACATCCCTCAAGTCCCTGGAACGTGTGGAGAAAGAGGATCCCGACGTCGGCGTCGGGCGTGAGGGGCGGTATGTGTTGTCGCGAGAGAGGGACCTGCCCTCCCCTTGGCTGGAGCCTCCAACCCCATAGTTCCTGGTGATGGAGAGAGAGTGGGTCCTCCCCTGGCGGCGACTGTTCCAACGAGGGGACGGGGGTGCGCTCACTGAGGTTGCCCTCTCTAGCAACACCCTTCCCTTTGATCTGGCGTTTCAGCAGCTCCATCTCCACCGCCATCTTGCGAATGACGGCGTCTTGGTCCTTGAGTTTGTGCTCCAAGCGCTGCGCATGGGACTCCCTCGGCGTCTGCGGCCTCCAGGACTCTGCGAGCGATCAACACTCCTTCCGCGAAGGAGTTTCTAGGCCTGCCATGGCTGGAATATTCAGAGGACCTTCTCTCAAGCGAGCGTACACAGGGGTGGCGCCATCGACGACGGACAGTGGGGCTTCGCCGTTGTTGGCCATGGAAATGATCGAAGAAGCTCTGAGAACAAGGTTTGAGTATCAAAAAACTTCCCACAGACGGCGCCAATTGTACAGGGGCGAAATATCCTCTGTTCTCCGTACTCCTTGGTCGTCAAGCTTCTTGTAACGGCGTCTATCTCTGCAACACAAAAATGGTGAGCTGCCCGGCGGTGGTGTGCCGGAAAGACCCTCCGACGATCAAGTCAGACCACTAGCTGAAGAAGAAGGCTATCAGGGAGAGAGTTTTTGATAGGATGAATTCGCTTACCTCCAACGTCCCTCTTCCTCCATATTTCTAGGCTGGCCATGCAGCCTCAAGATTGTGCGCGCACTACCTCTGCTGTCCTTCCCTAGACAGGTGGCAGTGCTCACCTCTCACCACCTTACGCGTGTAAAGGCTTAGTCCTCCCTCCAGTACACACAGAACTGCCCAACGGTGTTGAGGCGTGCGTGGAGCGGATGTCCTCTCCTTCACGTCATTGGCCCAGGTGGCATACTTAACCGGAGTACCACGACCGGCCAGTCACTTGTGGAGAGTCGCTATTACATGCTCATAACCGAGCTATGTGTCGCCGACTTATAACTTGGAATCAGGCGAAAGCCTGCCTACCTCGGCCGAACTATCATTGGTCGGTTCATCATGACCATCCGGTTGCGAGGCATGCCGGCCTCCAACCGGCCTACCTTCAATCTTGGTCACACGAAGCCACTTTATATCGACTGACCGGTCCAAGGTGCACCGGCCTTGATCGCGCCCACGGACTAGCTCGGGCTGCCTTTTAGCCCGGTCAGCATCCACTAACCCAAGCTCCGTCCAACACGTTCAAGACGCAGCTCAGCTATGCCAGTTGGTGCCTGACCGGTCAATATTTCCGACCGTGCAAGGCAGGCCGCTGGCCATGTCAACAGAGATAACCTCGACGCTACGCGGTCCGTTACGTCTGACGTTATCTCAGCTCGGCCGTACAGTCAGGTGCAAATCTCCCCTCTCACTAGCATTGAGTTTAATTTAGTCATTCCAAACTAATATTAAAATTTCTTTTTAGATGTTAAACAAGTTTACTTGATAGTATGAATGTAAATAAATTTTTGTTAACAATTTTTTTAAATTTAGACTTTCATACACGTGGCAATAGATATTTTGAAAGTAGGCATATATATATATATAAAAAATTTAGTCTATGGCGCAATTAAATAATATAAAATTTTAAAATAATATTTTGCATAATATATAAAAATTTAAAATGTTAATCCAACCTTGTTATGCAGACAAAAATATTTATCTTCCACTCTAAAATCATTGAGTTTCGTTGAGTGAGAAGGAAATTACTCCTTACTTTAATGTTCGAATTGCATTATTAATTTTTGTAATGATAAATCAACAAATGTGTAATTATTGTCAATTATTAAATTAAAATGAATGTCAGATTAATTTTAAAAAATTTATAATTTTTTTGGAGAGAAAGCAATATAATTTAATTTTCTACAAAATTGTTTTTTCATAATTTTTAGAATAAATTACAAATATACCATTTAAGATTTGCTTAAAATATAAATTACCTCATGTGATTTAAAAAATTATAATATCCTCTTACCATAATTTTATATTTAATATAATTAATTGAAAAATAAAATTTGTAACTGCTCTCCCATGCAATGATAAAATTACCTTATTAATTCAAATAAATTTATACCATCATTAAAAATTGTTAATTAATTTGATGATTTATTAATAAAGGGGTCATTTGTTATGAAATTAAAAATTTCGAGAGATATATAATTTTCAAAACTATAGAAGCAAATCGTATTTTAAGCAAACCTCTGAATGTGTATTTGTAATTGGGTATGGCTTCTGTCCAGTCCGAGATCGTGCTGTTGGACCCGTGGGGGTCCACCACGGGTCCTGTTTTGATAATCTAAACTGTTCAATGTGTAGAAATTGTTGAGTACTATATGTCTATAAAAAATCACGTTGATCGGATAGCGATAGCTATGTGATCAAAACGGTTTTTTGTCAACCGTTAATTTGTTCACTGTCCAATTTTTTTACATGCTTAACATCCGTAATTTTTTGAGATAGAAAATGCAATATATTGGTATTTGACAATTCAATGTTAAATTTGAAATAATTCTTCGTGTTGAATTCTGGCAATTTGAAGTTAATTCGAGCCTAATTTTGGTCTTATTCGAGTTTTATAAGGTATGCTGAAGTTTAGATAGAAGTTGGGTTTGACAAATTTATTTATACTTTTGGAACTGAACTTAGATAAGTTTTCAATTAGAGAGGGACATCGATTGAGTTAGGTTAAAGTTAGAATTATAACGCATAAGAATATATGTGTCATCTCAAATTTAATTAATTTTACCTAACATTGAGTTTAATTTAGTCATTCCAAGCTAATATTAAAATTTCTTTTTAGATGTTAAACAAGTTTACTTGATCTAGTATCAATGTAAATAAATTTTTGTTAACAATTTTTTTAAATTTTGACTTTCATACACGTGTCAATAGATATTTTGAAAGTAGGCATATATATATATATAAAAAATTTAGTCTATGGCGCAATTAAATAATATAAAATTTTAAAATAATATTTTGCATAATATATAAAAATTTAAAATGTTAATCCAACCTTGTTATGCAGACAAAAATATTTATCTTCCACTCTAAAATCATTGAGTTTCGTTGAGTGAGAAGGAAATTACTCCTTACTTTAATGTTCGAATTGCATTATTAATTTTTGTAATGATAAATCAACAAATGTGTAATTATTGTCAATTATTAAATTAAAATGAATGTCAGATTAATTTTAAAAAATTTATAATTTTTTTGGGTAGAAAGCAATATAATTTAATTTTCTACAAAATTGTTTTTTCATAATTTTTAGAATAAATTACAAATATACCATTTAAGATTTGCTTAAAATATAAATTACCTCATGTGATTTAAAAAATTATAATATCCTCTTACCATAATTTTATATTTAATATAATTAATTGAAAAATAAAATTTGTAACTGCTCTCCCATGCAATGATAAAATTACCTTATTAATTCAAATAAATTTATACCATCATTAAAAATTGTTAATTAATTTGATGATTTATTAATAAAGGGGCCATTTGTTATGAAATTAAAAATTTCGAGAGATATATATATAATTTTCAAAACTATAGAAGCAAATCGTATTTTAAGCAAACCTCTGAATGTGTATTTGTAATTGGGTATGGCTTCTGTCCAGTCCGAGATCGTGCTGTTGGACTCGTGGGGGCCACCACAGGTCCTGTTTTGATAATCTGAACTGTTGAATGTGTAAAAATTGTTGAGTACTATATGTCTATAATAAATCACGTTGATCGGATACCGATAGTTATGTGATCAAAACATATTTTGTCAACCGTTAATTTGTTCACTGTCCAATTTTTTAATACGAAATTGATTTGATCGTGTAGCTATCGATAGCTGATCAACGTGATTTTTTACAAGCATCTAGTACTCGACGAGTTCTACACATTTAACGGTTCAAATTATCAAAACGAGACCTGTGGTGGGCCTCCATGGGCCCAACAGTACGGTCCAGTCCGATCCCGGACTGGATAGAAACCATACCCTTTGTAATTTATCCTGATTTTTAATTTTTTCAAGGACAATAAAAGATAGTAATGGAATATTTTAATATGCACACCTTTAAAAGGGGTGTACCAGATGCACCTCTAATTATATCATTTTCTTATTTAATTATGACTAATGAGATCTGTAGTTATGTCTTATTTTGTATTTAATTATGATAAAATATATATATTTTTAATTATGACTCTAAAAATATGAAATTATTCTATTTTATTCTTTAGTTATAAGGTGCATATGGTAGAAATCCTTTAAGATGTGTGTATCATAGTGTTTTTAGGAAATAACATATACGAGAAACACTAAAAAGTGTATGCCATATGCATCTTATAACTAAAAATAATATATAATTTTAATTTTTAGGTAAATTACAAATACACTCCTGAGGTTTACTTAAATTACAAATTACTTTTTGTAGTTCTAGAAATTATATTATGCCCTCTAAGGTTTTTAATTTCAAAATAAATATGTCCTTTTATTAATAAATCATTAAGTTAATTAATAATTTTTAATAATGTTAAAATTTTATTTCAATTAATAATTTAGATAATTTTATCAAAGTATACATATATGTTCTTATACATCTCCATTTGTTCAAGAAAATGAGGTGCACAACATGTACATCAATAAAAGAAATTTGAAAAAATAAAAAATAAAATAGTAAAGTACAGAGAATTTAGAATGCATGGCCAAGATTGTATGGCCCGTACATCAAGAACTTTAAATGACTCTGTTTAGATCTTTTTTTTTTTTTTTTTCCCACTTGTCTTTTCATATATATATATATATATATATATATATTTTCATCTTATTAATCAAAAACTGTAATTACTAATTAGAGGAAGCTCAAAGACACCAAGGCAAAGAACACTTTTCTCAGCCCGCAGTCGAAGGCACTTCTGGTTTTCCCACTGTTCTCTTTCATTCCTAAATCCCCCTTTTCCCACTTTCCCTCACTTTCTCGCTTCCACATCTCCGCCGCTGACCGCCGCCCATCCACCGATTTGACCCACAGAGAGAGAAGAGAGAGCGAGAGGGGCAGCGGAGAGAGACACCATGAGGCCACCAAAGAGGCCGATCCACACCGTGTCGTTATGGGTACGGAAACAGCCGCCGAAGGTGAAGGCTTTCCTCGCGGTGGTGACGGGCATGGCGGCGCTGGTGTTGCTCCGATTCATTGTGCACGATCACGATAACCTCTTTGTTGCCGCCGAAGCTGTTCACTCCGCTGGAATCTGTGTCCTCATCTATAAGCTCACCAAGGAAAAAACTTGCGCTGGTAATTCAACAACCCTAACTATTCTGTGTTTGGTTGATGTTAAATAGAAAGGAAAAACTTACAGTCAATTTGAGTAATCTCAAACCTAGATTCCAAAGGAGACTTCTTTTTGATGTCTCGGTCCTTTGTTGTGCATCGGGTTTCTATTCATCAGGGTTTTTTTGGGTCCAGATTCAGATTGTTTAAATTATTTATTTATTTTGGGTTTCCTTTTTCTTATCGCCCAAGTCTAGGGTTTTATTTATTTATTTTATTATTATTTTTTTTGAAGGGGGAGATTGGATTAAATCGTTTCCAAGTTTTTATTTTTTTGGTGGAAAATTATTTTCTTTATCACTTTTTCTTGTGGGACAGATTTTAATCTGGCTAAATGAGTGCATATAAATTTTTATGTTGAGATTGTCACAGAGCTTTTGAAAGATACACAGTAACCAAAGACAAAGCTGAGGAAGCAGTTGGGAGACCTAAAGTACATTATATTTATTAAGGTTGAAGATGAAGTTCATGAAAGGCAGAGGAGTTATTTTGACCAGCTGTTTAATAAAAATTACTTAGGAAATTGAGTTTAAGTAATAAATTCTTTTGCAGTAGAATGTTAAGGATGCTATGAAGAATATGAAAGTGAAAAATTTTTTTAGAACCAGATGAAATTCCCATTGAAGTTTGGAAGTTTTTGTGTGATGAAGTGGCAATTTGGTTGACTAAATTGTTTAATAAGATCTAAAATTTTAACAAAAATATTTTGATGAGTGGAGGGAGAATCCGTTAGTTCCAATAATCAATTTAACGCAACCATAGATTTTCAGTTTGTTGATTCTGAACTCCCCACCCTAGTCAGATTTTTGCATCACAGCAACATAAATTTCCTTTTGGAAGTTTTAGTTTATTGACCATATGTTTACGAGCAAGAAAGATCGTGGAATCAGGGGTGAACTTTTGCTTCTGATTCTGTTTGTTAAAATCAATCAACCTCCTTGAGCCCCTCAGCAAGACAAAAAAAAGCACAAAAAGGAATACAATTTTATTTTACCACATTGTAATTTGAAAATCTTAACAGGATTATGTGAAAAAGATCCTGCTTCACTAGCAACGAGTTATTTTGGCTATGCTTGTGAGATTGTATAGTCCATATATCTGCTCTGATTTCAAGATTATTCATTTTCTAATATTATCAAGACCTGCACAATAAATGGTTTTTGTTCTGTTGGGCATCATATTGATCTCAAGGGCTCGCTCTAAAAGGTTAAACTGGCGTGTCTATAAATATGTATGGTCAGTTTGATATTTGTGCATGCCCATATTTGCAAAACATTTGTATACTAAGTTTTAATCTTACTGGGACTCGTGGTTTCTCCTTTGTGTGCCTATATGAATTTAAAATATCTATTTATTCTGCCTGATTTTACATATTTATTCACAAATTACAATCACTTGCTTAGTAGCCCACTCCTCATCTGGAAGCATGGACGATAGGTTATCATCTTACAGAGATTTATGATTACATTCGTTTTGCTTGACATTGAAATATCGGACCAATGAGGAGTTTTACATGAAATGGGACATAGAAGCCCAACTCACTTAAAAAAAATTCTTAATTAAGTCAATGGACTCTTTAACGGTTTGTCAGGTCCCCATTTTGTGATAATGATGTTGCATAATTATCAGTCTTGAGGGATGCATTGATATTACTCGTTACTTGTTATCAAGGTTTTCCTCTTTCTAGTGTGTGCATGCATATATTAACACATGCATTTCTATCTCATTATCCAACCATGAATGGATTTTGTGTGAAAGTTAAGCTCCATTTTAGATAATATTGAGTCTTCAGGGATGCATTGATATCATATCACTCGTTAGTTGTTATCAAGGTTTTCCTCTTTCTAGTGTGTGCATGCATATATTCACACATGCATTTCTTTTTCATTATCCAACTATCAATGGATTTTGTGTGAGAGTTAAGCTCCATTTTAGATAATATTGAGTTTGTATTTTCAGTTTGGATTCTAGAGCTTTATATAGTTGTCAAATCGGGATTTGAAATGGCTTTGTGCTGAATCACGAATCAAATCGGATTGTGAATCGTAAAGATTTAGTCACTTTTTCTATATTACTTAGAAAAATATATCTACACCTTTGAATGTTAAATATATCTTATAAATATGAAATATTTAGACTTAAATCAATAAAGATGTTGTTTTTAATGATGGTCATGTAGGTTAATAGGTAAGACGTTAACAAAGGTTCCTATGTAAGATCACTATCTTATCTTTTTCTTTTTTTTGATATTTCTTATCAATCATTCTTAATAAAGATAGTAAACAAAAACAAATTCTCAATTTTCAAAGTATCAATAATTTAACAACAATATTGATATTTAGACAATAAGTATGCATACTTTTCCAAGTAACAATGACCAAATAATAGAATTATTTAGAGTTTTTTTATTTTAAAAGCCTGAAACATTTTAAAAAGTATAACTGACCTCACTCATGTAATATTCAATCATATTTAATTTAATAAAATAACAATAGATAATTCATGGTGTAAGTTACTTTAAACTTAAAGAAGATATATTATGATTTTTTAAGGGAAAAAAAATGAGAAGAAAGGTTAAAAACATGTTGGGTTTGACTGAATCTGATTAGATCCTATTAAAAATTTCGTGACTACTAAAATGATAACAAATCATGTATATGTATTGGTTATTTTGGTACTAAACGCTATTAGAAGTTGTATTATGTTATTTTCACTATAAAGATAGAGAAAAGAATAGTTGAAAATATGTCGGATATGATAGTTTCAAGAATTGCATGAATCGTAAAAAGTGAATTGATTCGTGAATCATTGTATTCACTTCCAAAATAGATTCATCCATAGATTCGTATTTATTTTGCAAAAATTGCGAATTGAATAGTGAATCAAATCACGAATTGTAAGATTATAATAACAGAGCTTTACATTATGTCACACATGATTTATTTCTTCTGAATAACCTGTTCCTGGATGTTTTCAGTGTATTTTTCCTTGTTACACAGTTTACTAACAGCACTGATTAGATTTAATTTACACTTCTGATTATTTGCAGGACTCTCACTTAAATCGCAGGAACTTACGGCTATATTTTTAGCTGTTAGACTGTACTGCAGCTTTGTCATGGAATATGATATACACACTTTGCTTGATTTATCGACATTGGCTACAACCCTCTGGGTTATTTATATGATCCGTTTTAATTTAAAGTCAAGCTACATGGAGGACAAAGACAATTTTGCACTGTATTATGTGGTGAGTCTACCTGTTACCATGTTTTTTTTTTGTGGGTTAGTCACATTTTACCTCCCGGATGTTTAGCTAAAGAACATAACCACATTCTGGTTGAAAAACCTACACATAACCCCCTTATGATCTGGGATGAAGTGCAAATCTTACGGAATCAGTTGAAGATAAACAGTGTGTTGCTCAACTGTGGGTGAGGTGCGTGGTGACTGTGTTTGAACTAATTTTGAGAGCAAAATTACTAAGTGCCCTTATTTAATTTTCCGCTCCTTTTTCTTCCATCTTCAGCTTCCTCAAGATTCAACCCCTCTTCCTCTATTACAGCAGCTTATATCTCCCCTTACGCCACATCCACTAACATGCATCACCACTTTGCCAACCAAGGAATCAAAACCACCACCAACCTCCACCAATAGTCCTCCTGGTGGAGCTACTGAGAAACTTGTCTAACTTGATCTTCGACGGAGATGATGTTGGTTATCCCTTGTACTGCCCAAATGGCTAAGATTACTTCTAAATTAAAATTGGGTACATGAATGCCATACATATATATACACATTAATGTATGTATGTAAAACAGGACTATCAGGAATGAAGTGTGTATTAATACATTAATATATGTTCATAATGTTTTTGTGTGGATGTATATATGTATGTATAATAGGCATCCGTGGTATCAGTTTTGGATAGAAGGATAGGTAGAAGTGTATGTACTAGGAAGAGGGATGACCTGGATCCATTTTTGGATCACTATTACTATAGCTATTTGTTCTGGAAAAAAGTTAGATCCATGTCCAATTACAATCTAGCTAAGCGGAATGAGTGGCTTGCGAGAAAAAAATCTTCACTGCATCTCCAATTAGTCTCAAGTCAGAAATCTTGATGTGCTCTACATTAAGACTCGTTGGGACAGTGAGATGCTAAACATATACATATATGACCATAAACAGAAATGAGATTTGTTCAGGGAGTGAGGGAAAGGGTGACTATTCTGGTTTAAATGGATGGCATAGAGAGAGAGATCAAAGGTGGGTCTAGTTTGGCTGACCATTTGGGCAATGAATTTTACAAACAAGATGGGGTTAATTTAGACATTTTGCATGAAACTTACTTCCATCCATTTTTTGCACTAAACCTTATACCATATGGGGGTTATGTGTAGGTTTTTAAACCAGAAGGGGGTTATCTGTTTTCTGGCTAAACCTCATGGAGGTAAAATCTAATTAACCCTTTTTAATGAACTCTTTTAACCCTCTTAGTTATTCTTATTCTACTCAATTTGTACTTATTGCTATCATTATCGTGGTTGCCAGAAGTTATGAAACCAAATGGCTACCGAGACCTTTTTGGTCTTAATGGCCAAAAGCCGAAAGTTCTGTACCTCCTGCATGTTGTAATTTGTCTTTATCTTTGCAATATATGCAGAATCTACATGCCTGTATTTATGTAATTTACATCACAACATTGCATCTTTTGTTTGATGACCTAAGTGCTGCTCTTGCACTCCAATTTGTTAGAAATTGCCTTTTAAAATTAAAGATTCATTTGTATTAGATTAAGGGTTGATTTGTACTATACCCATAATGTTGGACAACTTTTTGTGTGAATTGGGTTTGACTCCTTAATACCTCTAATATTCTATTTAATGGCTTAATACTTTTGTTTATTGTTGTAACCAATCTTGGGTTCTCAAATACAGCTTTTAAGATCCTTGTTTTAGATATTGTGCTAATAGTTAGGAATTAATGCTATAAATTGAAACAGTAGATTTGGTTTCTTTATAATTTTGCTTGGTAGAACCTAAGACCAACATTTGCATTATCATGTATAGGTTCTGTTTGACCATGGCACTGCATCTGGAACATCATCACATTTTCCCCTATATTGTGTTGATTTTGGCTTTTTACTAGCTTCAACTCAAAACATTATCGTCCATCACTACTTTAGCAAGTACCTCATCTTACCTTAGTAATGACTACAAGTTCTTGTCATTTCTTTTACTTTCCTGTCATTCATTCATCATTCATCCTAATGACGGTGCACATTTTGTTTATTGATTCCAAGCGTCAGGAAGCATGGGCAACTATATGACTTTTTATGACGTTATCCTGTTAGCAACGAAATGTGTCATGGATAATTATAAAGCTTCTCTTCATCTCTTCCATAGTGTAATAAAATAATCAGATACGCAGCATTCTGCAGTAAATGCTTATGCTGCCAAGCGTGAGAATGTGGGTCAAGTTTGGGTAATGTTCTTTTGCCAGCAGTATTGTTTTCCAGAACTTTTTGTAGGGTAGTCTAATGTTTAAAAAATAGCTCATAGTTTAAAGCTTATAAGTGCGTAAGGTATGTTAGATGTATTTACCTCGTATGAATGGATTTGTTGCCATACATTCCTTTCTATTTTTTTATTTTTATTTTCTTAATTTCCCTCACTTAAATATTGTTTTGTGCGTCTTACTTACATGTTGTACCTTTACTTCATTTTTTTTAAAAACTGATTACCTTGTATTTGATTTTATTTTCTGTTACTGATGATTGTGAATAAACCCCATGGATTTATGTTTTTGTGGTTGTTTTGAGCTGTGTATGTGGCCTATTCTGGCAGATCTCATAGTCCATTGTGTTGCTAAGGTTCCCTTGCTGTTTGATTGATTATGGGTTTAGTTCTTTGGCTGATTGTAAATAGGTACATTAGGTGTGATTAAATCACTTTTACTTACTGAAAATAAATTTACCTTGTTTCTCATTTTGTTGTAGGCGGTGCCATGTGCTGTGTTGGCTTTGTTAATTCATCCATCTACGTCACATCATTTTATCAACAGGATTTTTTGGGCATTCTGTGTATATCTGGAAGCTGTTTCTGTATTACCCCAATTGCGTGTCATGCAAAACACAAAGGTAAAATCTTAACATAAGTGTTTTTTTTTGGGATAAAGTATTAGTGCTTGGCTATGTAACGTCTTCCTTTTGCACTCTCAGATTGTTGAACCATTCACGGCTCATTATGTATTCGCATTGGGCATTGCAAGGTTCCTGAGCTGTGCACATTGGGTTCTACAGGTTTGATATGCGTACTTTTAATATCTAAATTTGTTTTGAGTGAGGAATTTGATCATATTCTTGTGTTTAAAAGTTTGTACATTGATCAACTTTTGACTGTTGGGGTAGTGCCGACAAACATCATCCCGTTCAACTTGAAATTTGGCCTGCGCTAGACCATCCAAAAACTACTATAATGATTATAAACTAGCATAAGTTTGCAATATTTATGGTCTATAGTAGTTGGGATTCATCCATCTTAATATTCCATCTATATTTTCTTTTTTCTCCTATGTACTTTCTTCTCTTCCTTGCCTTTCTTACATAATTTCTGACATGAAAACACTTGATATCTTGCTTGCTGGTGCATAGGTTGAGTTCAAACTTTGTTCACGTGGTGAACTATTTGATCTGTTATTTTGCATTGGTTAATTTCTATGAAGCACGGACACCTCCCCAGGCTTGCGTACGAGTGTTGGACACGAACACGCATCGGACATGTTGTGGACACGGGTCCGGCAATCTCCCTAACGTGTCTTTTTTTTTTGAATTTTTCTAGTCGGACATGTGGTGGACACGCGATGACATGTTTCAGACGCGCGAGGTGGATCAAAGATGCCCTAACTTGTTGGAGAGAGAGAAAGAGAGAGAGAGAGAAAGAGATTGAAGAAGCCCTAACATGTTTCGCGATGACCCGTTTCTTTATCTTCTCTATTCTTCTTATCCTCCTCCTCCCTCTTTTGATTTTGTCTCTCTCCCCTCTTTTGATTTTCTTTCTCTCTCCCTTTTCTGATTTCGCCTGTCTCCTCTCTTTCGTTTTTCTTTTTTTTTTTTCTCTCTCTCCTCCCTCCCTTTTTTTCCCTGATTTTGTCTATCTCCCCTCCTTTTAATTTCTTTTTGTCCTTTTTTTGGGTATCCATGTTTTTTTTCAATCTAAAATTCATAGAGCAAATTATTTTGACTTGAAAAAAAATCAATTTTTATTAAATTTTTTTAGGTAATGTGTTTATTAATTTTATTATTATTGTAATTTTATAGGAATTAATGATTTTTTTAAAAATTTTTTTTAGACGTATAATAAATAAATAAATTTATATACGTGTCCCTAGCGTGTTGTGTCTCCCATTTTTGAAAATTTGTGTGTCCATGTTATGTCCCGTGTCCAGTGTCCGTGCATCATAGGTTAGATTGAGTTCTATTAAGTGGTTAAACTTTGTTCATCATCTCTGCAAATGGTGTGGTTGTTCATTATTCTGGCTGTTTATTATCTTGTGCACTTGGCTGGAACTTGCTGGATTTTGGACGTCCCACTCTGTTTGGATTGAGGAGAGAGTGAAAAGAAAAAGTTAGTTATGAGGGGAAGAGAAGGAAGGAAAAGGGAGGTATCCTTCTTGTTTGGTTAGACAATACTGGGAAGAAAAGGTTATCTTTCCTTCTCCTTGTTTGGTTGGAGAATGATAAAAACAACGTCCAATTAGTAAACATTAATGTATGTTTGGAAAGAAAAAGATTGAGTACACACCTAACCTTTGGTATAGTGCATAAAGTGGTGGCCCCAAGACTTGAACCCATAACATTAAGGTTATTAAGTCAAGTTTTAACCATTGAACCAATGGTCACCCCTTGGAGAATAATCATAAAGGGAAAGTTAAATATGTATTGTTTAAAATATTAGTGGGGTTATACATTTATAAAAAAAACAATATATATATTAGTGAGGTTATAAAATATTATTATGGGATGCACTTCATTTCTATGTTTCCTCCCAATTTTGGAACGAAAGAGAAGTGCTCAAAATGTTTGTACTCTAAAAAAAAATCCAAACATGATGTTACCTCAAAATCCTTCAATTCCCGCCTAAACCATCACATCAATCCTCAAAATCCTTCACTTCCTTCCTAAACCATCAGTGCAAATGGAATCTTAATTTTCATAGAATTCTCCAATATGAAGGCTACATTAGAACTAGGGCTACATTAGATAGTGTTGGAACTATTGTGAATTTTTTAATCAATATAGTACTTGTGAAGGTATGTTGAATTGGTTGTTGACAATAATATAAATTTAGAGAATCTTGTGCATGATTTGAGTAGCTTTTTGCTTTCAGAAAGACCTGTTCGTATGGGTTGCTATGAGGGGTTGGATGTCCACTTCGGAAACAGTGTGGTCTCTCGAATGAATAAAATCAATTCCAATCCCGCACATTTATTATCAAAAAATTGGAGAAAAAATAAACAACTAAATAAGTGCATGGAGAATGCATAAACAGTGTTCTAAGAACAACAAATCTAAAAGCAAACATGATTATGTTCATCACAAAAGTCGCAAAACTCCCATGTTATTGTTGGTAATAGACGTGAGTATTGGCCTAAAAAACAAGTAGATAAAGATACGGCCCAACATAATGGTCAACAAAGAATTTTCAGGCCCAATAATGCAAGGAAAGGAAAGATACTGATGAAAACTGTTGATAAACCAAACATTCCTAATTCAAACGAAGCAAAGGAAGGAAATTGGAGTGTTGAACCATTTATTGAGCTCATAAACATAATCTTTAAAAATGAAGTGTTAATGCATTCATTGTTGGTCTAAATGTATGGGATTATGGGTCCCAAAATTATGATCAAGTGCAATCATGGTTCTTTATCTTTATGGACTTGACCTCTACAGGGGTTGTGAATTTTCACTAGATTTTCGTTTTCGTGTGATTGATTGTATGATTTGCCATTATTTCTTTGTTTTTCTATTTCCTCCGAACAGGTTTTGGACAGTCGTGGCCATCTGCTGACAGCTCTGGGTTATGGATTATGGCCTTCAATGGTTCTTATCTCGGAAATTGTTCAAACTTTCATACTAGCTGATTTCTGTTACTACTATGTGAAAAGGTCAAATAAACTTTTTATGATGACAGCCAAACCTTTATTAAATGCATTTGTTTTTTCTTTTTCCTTTCTAAAATGTTTGTTATGGTTTGCAGTGTTTTCGGAGGACAGCTTGTTCTACGCCTTCCTTCTGGGGTTGTGTAACTGAAGATTGTACAAGCAATGCTGGCATTGGAAGGAAACTTTAAGTGTAACGCGCACTCTTCATTTTGTTACTCTCTCTTTATACTGTTCATGTTAATAGGTCTAGGTGGTCTGGTCCATCCGTGACTGAAATCAAGTGGACTTTGTAAATTTTGCAATGGACATGGAGGGAACTTTGATGACGGGATAACGAAAAAAAAAAAAGAGCTTGGTTGCACCAGAAATCAGATTAATTTTTTTGTGTCAACACTAATATATGGTGGCTTTTATATAATGGAGTTTAAGTTATTTTTGGCTTCATGATGTTTTTTTGAGCTCTTATTAGTTGATAATGCTGACCTAAGTAGCATTGGCTGGAACTTGCTGGATTTTGGACGTCCCACTGAGTGCCTTTACAAGTTCCATTTATTTTTGTTCTTAGTGAACTTTTGTTTTTTCTTATACTTTTGAAGTTCGTGTAAATTAGATGATACTAGGAATTTTTAGAAAGTGACGTATTTTCGGTTTATTTTTGTTCCTAGTTGCATCAATTGCCCTAAACCACCGTTACAAGAGTGGGTGTGGCTAATACTAATCCTAGTAAGAATGCGTGTTTAGTAAATAATATATATGGGTATGTTTGGTTTGTGTTTGAGAGATGTGTTTTAGAGATAAAAAGTACGAAAACATGTTTGGTTTAGTTTTTTTTAAAAGATGTTTTGGAAAATTATTTTGAGATAGAGTTTTGGAAAAAGTGATTGATTTGATATGTGTGAGAGAGAGATTTGTTTGGAAAACTTGTTTGGTTTACAAGTTTTGAGAAATTTTTTTGGAAAAATTTGTTTGGTTTCATTATTTTTGAAAACTTATTTGTAAAGAAAATTTCCCAAAATTTTTTCAGAAAATCAAACCAAACGAGCCCTATATCAATATTATATATAACGTGAACACTTCTTATGGTGTCCTGAAGCCGGATTTAGGGTGTCTGCTGTGCTACTGTTGTGCGGCCTTATGGGTTTATTTTGGGATTTGTTTTAATTATTTGAACCGTTTACATTTTAGAGTACATTGATTAGAACATACTTGTAAAAAATTAAGTTAATTGGATATTGTTATCTTTTCATCTATTTACATTTATATTTATTTTAATACTCTTAATCACACAATCATTTATTTTTGAAGATACAAATGTGAGTGAATGAAAGGGTTAACGATATTTGATTAATTTAATTTTTTACAGATATGTTTCACTTAATGTATTCTAAAATGTGAACGGTTCGAATTATCAAAACGGATTTCGAAATAGGCCCAAAGAGCTGCACAGCAGTGCCTGTTGTGCTGGGTGCATAGCAGGCACCCCAACTCTTTTGAAACCTTTATTTCTTATGCTGTCATGTATTCACTTTTTTATTTAAAAAAAAAAAAAAATTAGATAGATAAGAGGAAGAAACTTGAACTTTAAATTTATGTCAAATAAATATGAATCTTATTATTTGACTAGTACACAATATATTTTATTTTATTTTTATTTATTTAAATTGTACACGTTATGTGTGTCAACCGTCAGTACCGTTACCGTTAGTGTGTATATATATATATATATAATGTTTGTAGTTTCCAACAATAATGGATACTATCACGAGATGTTTTCATTTAATGGAATTGTCAATTTTTCATAATTTTTATTTTTTGGGTCATGTAATTATTAAGTTTTTTGTTATTGATTTGGCATTAAAAAAAAAAAAAAAAAAAGGTGGAATTCTTGAAAGGCATGATAATGATTTTCTCTAGAAGGACTTTTAAGAATAATGACTTTCTCTATAGGGTTTCCAAACACAGCACCCCATATTTCGAGGGACCATTGAATTGTATATATGTGTGTATGTAGGAAAATTTCAAATCAATTGAAAATAATTTTATTTTCATAAAAGAGCCATTGAATTGTATATATACATTTACTACTATTATAAAGTGTGAAGAATTTATTATGTTTTTTTTACTTTTTTTTTTAAAATTTTAATTTTATCCTCTCAATTTAATATATTTTTTAAAAGTTATGAAGAGTTGTATGTAAACCATCTCATTATTTTTGGAGTTGTACGTTTAAAAATAATATATCTGTTTTCAAGAATACTATATAAATATAAATAAATTATATCCTTTCTTATCAACAACCAAAAAAAAAAAAAAAACGTCTCCCTATTTTTTATATTGATGATAATTGAAGAATAAAAAATAATTACTTTTTTAATTTTATTTTTTGTATCTGCTTCTATACTAATATATATAATATTTACAATTCTCCATCATGGATCAAATCACTATAAATAATTTTGATTGAATCTTAAAGTTGTATGCATTTCTTTGAATTTAGATAGAGGAAAGCTCATACATTTTTAAAATAGAGATTTGTATTGCATTTCAAAAATTTGCGGGTTATCTTTTATACACTTTCTTTTTTGTTTGAATTATATTTTATGAACTGTAACGAAAAAAAAAAAAAAATCCAAACAAGAATCACTTTCGTTGGTTTTATTTTTTAAATATGTTTTTTAATTTTTGATTTTTCATATTTTTTCAGTTTTGATCATTAAAGATATTGAAATTTCTTCATAGTTTATATTTAAATTATACTTTTACATGAAAATCTAATATCTAATAATCTAAATAGAATTAAAAAGTAAAGTATTGTGAAAAATCTAGAAATCCCCTAGATGTTGATTTGAGATTATGTATCAATTTTAAACAGTATAAAACAATTCCAATCAAATAATCAAGACAAATCGACACAATGATTTTACGTGGAAAAACCACAATTGGACACCTCCAATTGTGATAAAAAATCATGGGCAAAAGCCACAAAATAATCCACTAAAAAGACATAAAGGAATTACACAAGTATACTCTCAATTACCTAGCGAATCCACGCCTGAATTGAACCAACCTCTATGTGTCTCTTCCAGCCCCGTCTTCACCTCGGAATTGTCTAGACGATGAGCCACTCCAGAATCCACCAAAGCTTCAGGTTCAAATTCTTCAGAATCCACCGAAGAACAACTCTCTCCTTTGTATAGAATGAACAAACGAACCTTTGATGTATTCTTCTTAACCCATGAGTTGAATACTCAATTAAACATCAAAGAAAACTAGCAAAATATCCCTAGATATAAACTTTAATATCCAAAAAGAAGATCTGGAGCAGTAATCCTAAAATCTGACAGAAACACGTACTTATAGAAATCTGAGACTTCGAAGCTCGCTCGAGCGAAGACTCTCTCGCTCGAGCCAGGAACTAACCTCGCGTGTTTTTCCATAAGTGGCTTCGCTTGAGCCACACAACCTTTGCTCGAGCGTACATTCATCATTCTCAGGTTTTTTGCCAGACGCAGCCTTCGCTCAAGCGAGCTAGGGCGGACATGCAACTTCGAATGCAATTTTGCATTTTACTTTGGGGACGCTGTCCCTCGACCCCGCCGGGGCGCTGCCCCGGACCCGTCAAGGGGCGCTGCCCCTTGGACTCTTGCGAGTTGACCGAGCAGCTCGATCCCCATCATAATCAGCTAAGTGGCAATCTTGAAAGTATTAACATTACAAACTTCTCTGCAAAGCATAATTCGGGTTGGATTCGCATCTAAAAAACTCATAGCCTCACTGAAATAAAAAGTGCGAAAGCAAGTTCAACTGAAAGGAGTTTTGTCAACCGGGATTGTCAACAATAAAAACCTAACAATCTTCCCCTTTGGCAATGCCGTGACAAAACACACCTAACAAATAAAATCTTAATCACCCCAACCCATTACAGCCAACAAAAACAAACTTCTTTCTCAAGGTCATAATCTGCAAAACAGCTATTAGTGCCACAATCTCCAAAACAACTATTAGTCCCACAAGAGTATATGAAAAAGCAATAAACATATGGTTAGATTATCTTGAAGTATGAGATGGAAAACATGAATAGATGCGACTTGGATGTAGCATGAATAGATGAAAACTAAGACATATGCACCCGACACATGACATGAATACATGAAATCATATGACACATGAAAAACAAACTTCTCCCCCTTTTTTGTCACAAATTGACAAAGGAAGCTCAAACAACAAAAGTAAGATTATAAACCACACAAACAATGATATGATGATGTAAGTATCATGACCATGCAAGAAGGAAATAATGAACAAACAGTGCATAGCAACATGCAAAACAACTATAGCCAATCTCCCTTACCAAACAAATCAAAGTGTTCATGCTAACAAACTCTTGTAATGATAAACCAAACTCCCCCTCACTAAAAACAATGAACAAGAAGAAAACGACAAAAAATAATATGGTGGAGCAAGCAAGGAATTTCAGATTTGTACCTTGAAACACATAAGATTATCCAAGAAGCACAATTACTTGAAAACACAATGTGCACAGCCTCTAGAATATTCCTCATAAAAAAAAGTGATGCATTATGTAAAAAGCATAGATCCGATGAAAAAAGTATGTGTGACTCTTAGAGTTTGACAAACATAGGATTTAAATCCTAGTAGTGATCTGATAACTGGACCTCTGACAAGAGAATTTAAGCACAATTAAGGAAAGTCACACTACTAGGAATCAAGGGGTATTTGTTGAGTAATAGCGGAGGCTTCCTCTCAATCAATGAATCCTTTATTTTGTCTTTTTTTTCACATCTTTTTCTTTTCTTTCTTTTGTACATCTTTTTTTCTTTTGCACATATTTTTTTCTTTTGCACACTCATTGGCGGCTGACACACTCAAGAGTATGGAAACCGAACCAGAGAAGCATGAATATAATAAGGATGGCCTGGTTGGTGACTCTGAGGTTGCCTTTTCCTTATGCCTGGACTACACAAAACAAAGGAGAAAGCCGTGGAGATGCAAAAAGATGGAAGGTGGTTTAAGAGATTCAACATCACCCATGATATGCTAGTATAGGTCAATTCCTCTAGAAAAGCAAAAGACACAATGCCAGAAGTCCATAGAAAAAAAAAAATCACTAAGGCGGAAGACTCCGATATTTGCTAATCCAAGAGTGTGTACAGAATGAGACATACTAATAAAAAAAAAACACACACTCCAAAATGAGTAATGACCACAGAAAGCACACACATATTAACATGTAATGGATATTCTTATCAATTCCAATATGCACCAAGGACCACTCAAAAATTTTAAGCTTGCAAACCATACAAAGAAAATCCTTTTGGTTTTTATTTATTTATTTATTTATTATTTTTCTAAACAAAGCAAGACAGAAAACGAATATGCACACGTTAAATGACTCAAAAAGAAAAAAAAAAACACACAGAAAC